GCTGGCCCCGAGCCAACGTTTTTACTGTAATCCCAAGAAAAGCCCCGAGCCAGGACACCCAGCCACCCACAGAGACTGAGGTAATGAGTGCTCTCTTTGGGCCACCATGCTGAGGATTACTGGTTCCCTGACCATTGACAGCTGATCTGGAGACGCACGGGGAAGGCAGTCCAAGAACGGAGAGGCCTGCAAGTGCCCTCGCCCTTGCTGCTGCTAATACCAGACATCCCTGAGTGATCTATAAACATGGAGCTTACCCAGCTCACTGTCTGGAGGGCCAAGGTCCAGGGGCTGCACTACAGCTTGGCTGAGGGCAGGAGTGTGTGCATCTGTGTCCGTGTGTCTGCCTTGTCCAGTCTTCTTATAAACCCACCAGGGATCAATCATGCTCCCCACGCCCATGACTGTCACCCTAATCTCCACCCAGAGGCCCCACCTGTGGAGCCATCGTCAGAGTAAGCATTTACTCCCCAATCCTAGCCCAGCAACTACGACCTGTGAACCAGGGCGGGGGGACCACGCTGAAGAGCGTGGCTGAGAGCAGCGAGGACTCTTGAGGGTCTTTGAGGAAGGGAGGGACGTGCCGAGGCTTGGTGTGGCTGAGCTCAAAGAGTGTCGGACTTGGCTGCGTCACTGCCCTGTTTGGGCTTCAGTGCCATTTGTCAAATGCATGGCATGGACTGGCTGCTCTCTGTTCCTCCCAACACATGGCCACCCACATGCCGCCTCCTCCCAGGCACACAGTACGGTCCGGTATCTCTGTCTCTAATAACGCAGACGCGTTATCTGATCCCCAGCGTGCCAGCATTAGGACATGGGGACTCGGTGCTGTGACTGACGCACGAGTGCAGAGCCCTCATGAAGGGATTTGTGCCTTTAGAAGAGAGCCCTGAGAGGGGCCGGCAGATGGCGTGGTGGTTAAGGGCACTGGACTCCCACGTGCCCGACCATGGTTCGAGTCCCAGACCTGGCCTTCTCACTTTGTCTCTCTCTCTGGCTCTGTCCCTCTCTGGTCAAATGAAAGAAAAAGAAAGAAAGAAAGTTAGTTCAATAATTCTTTAAAAAAGAAGAAGAGAGCCCTGAGAGCCGCCTTGTCCTTCCACCACGTGAGGACACAGAAACGGGCACTTGACCGTGAAGTGGGCCGTCGCCAGGCGCCGAGTCTGCCCGCACCTCGATCTTGGGCTCCCAGCCTCTAGAACTGTGAGAAATCCATTTCTGTCATCGTAGGCCGCTGGTCTGTGGTTTGTTATAGCAGCCCAGGTAGTGAAAGGCACCTGGCCAGGCGCCTGCTTCTTTAGGGCACTTCCGGCCCGAGGGAGGAGGTGAGGGAAGGGACAGTCGTGTGACTTCTGAGAGGGGTGGCTGGGGAGAAGGTGACTGGCTTCGGGGATTCAGGGAGATGGAAGCCGTGGGGAGGGCACATCAAGGGCAGGGAAGGGTACAGGCCTGGAAACTTAGAAAGGTGAGGGTGCCCGGCGAGGCGGGCCTCCAGTGGGACCCTCAGCTCGGCCCGGCTGGCGGCTCACCCTCTGGCCAAGCTGGGAGGGGACTCTGGGTCCACTCTCACGTCTGTTGTCTATTACTCCACTTAATCCTCGCCACAGCCCTGCCAGGAGGTCTTTTGTTTGTATTGATTCATGTATCGATTCAGACCCACGCTGGTTCCAGAAAGGCTTTAAGGGGGCTTTCAGGGATTTCCACCACAGCAAGAGCAGGAGTGAAAATGCGACAAAGAGAAAAAAATCAATGGCGGGTCGGAGAATGCATGCACCGAGAAACCCCCCAGCCGCCCAGCTAAGCTTTCTGAGAGCCGATATCAAAGGAGAAACCGTCGGGTAACAGCGTCCACGGCGTACATCTAAATTCAAAAGGACCCGCTCTCGAAGCACCTGTTTTGGCACTCAGATGAAACCAGGATCTCCCAGGGGCCATCATAAAAAATGAGTGTGGCCTTATCAATAACACCTGGGCCTTATATTAAATGAGACTCTAGTGTCGTTCTTTAAATAATAGCATTGCATCAAAGTACAATTCAGGAGAAGGGATTCTTCTTTTAAAATTTGCCAGAGGGATCATGTGTGTACACTCCTGGGAGAGATCGAATCAGAGAGAGAGAGAGGAGAGAGAGACGGAGAAAACACCCGCCGCCCCCACCATGGGCCACGGTTATGCCACAATCTTTTCTCCTCCATTTCTTCCTCCTTTCGGGATTTTGGGCGTGCATACACACACACACACATACCGCATGTTTTTAAAGCTCCTGGGTCCAGGATTTGAACCATGCAGCTGGCCAGGTGGGATTTGGCTGCCTTCATCACCAGGCCACAGAGCTGGCCCAGGAAAAGAGATTCTGTAAGGACACACACCAGAAGCTGACTGAGGAAGGGGGAGAGGCAAGCGAGGGGCAGCTCGGATCTGTGCAAAGGCCTGGGGTCCACAGAGCCCAGCAGGAGGCACAGTGGGAGGCTCGAGGTGTCAGCCAGGAAGAGCATCACCGGCCGGGAACTGGGGGCGAGCCCAGTCTGCAGAACAAGGGTCCTACAGCTGGCCAGCCCACAGCAGGAAGCAGCATGTGGCTTACATGAGTAACAGAAACTGAATTTGGGGGCCCC